ATAATAATATAATAAAATATAACGCGTTATCACGTATACCTCTACGAGGTTATATTTATGGCGTCCGACATTGAGAACTATTTAAAATCGATTTAACGTGCCGGACACGACGCGCAATCAATGAGCGCGTCGATTACCCGATTTTTGGCTCGGGATCCGTCCAGTTTCGTATAAATCACCTGTCCGGGGTACGAGTTTCAGCGCGTAATTAAATATTATTTTGGTACCTATCTAATACCTATGCATACTACTTACGATGTGCCTATAATATAATATCCAATATATATAACGACTAATATGGTACGTCGAATTATGCGTATTGGGCCACTAAAAAAATACATTATTTCCCTACATTAACATATTACGATACAGCTCGCATTCTCTCGCGGCGATCCTCCACGATGTATATACATCATTAAAATAATAATAATAATAATAACAAAAACCTGCAGCCCGTACCGCCCACTATGCTAGCTCTGTACCCAGCGACTTCCTGCCTAAAATCATTATAAAAGCGTGTAGCTGCAGGAGCACGTCATCGAGTCGTCGTCGTGATGCTCTATCCGGGAGTCGGAACAATCTTCGTCGTAACACTGCAGCGATACAGAAATTTTAATATCTGTGAATATTACTCGAGCGAGTGACGCGCGAGAGTGTGTTATTATATGACATTACCGCGGCCGAGACGTTATTACGTATACGAACGGTCTACAATAACTACGTGTGCCCACCTCCATGCCTACTCGCCTGCCTGCCTACCCACATGTCCATCACGTACTCGCGACGAAAACAATGACGGCGGGTGATATTAATGTAATTTGTCGGATCCCTATATGATGTTATGTTGTGTATGATATTTTCGTATGCCGCCGCCGCCGTTGGGACGCTGCGAAACACAATGGAAAAAAAAAAGTTACACCCGACCGATGGGCTACCTACTGCACGGCAACAGTAGGTTTGTACGTATCGTGTAACATATATATATATATTTCAATATACATAATACAATTATTATTACTGTGCCGCGCATATATCGGCCTAAATTAGAGGAGTGTAATTCTTGTGTACATCTCGGCTCGCGGGACCGGGAAAATGTGATACGCGCCGTCCATCGTATAATATCATAATATGCTCGGTAATAATATGGAAAGGGGACGAGTAGGTATCTGTTATTATACGGCGATTGCAGCAGATCGATTGGAAAAAAAAAACAGTTGCTTACACGAATGATTCCGGCGGTATATATTTATTTACAATTCAACGGAATAAGACGTGATGAGTTGAAATTCCTCAGGTGTTTGAAAGAAAACTCTTAAGAAATAGGTACGGCCTCTGTTCGCCGAACCCGTAGGAATCGGGAATGTACGAATGTGCACGAGAAAAAACTTTCCGTACTTTCTGCCAGTTTCTCTGCAGGTCTGATTATTCTTTCACAAAATTTCCTCTGCTAAACTTGGATAATGTTTTCAATAACCGGCCGATTCGTGTTCTAATGCCGTCAATGAATACCTACGTATACGTTGAGTCTGCATTGAGTTACTTGCACAAATGTGTGCTGAATGTGCGCCATTAATCTTTACACGTTTTTTTCAATTTTGGTTGAAAAAAATCTGCCCGAATATTATAATTCTGAATACTCCGCGGCCACCGTCGTATCCGTTTTTTCGTCCGAAACTGTAGCGCGCAGACCTCGTTGAAGTATCGAAAACAGAAGGAAAAAATGTGGGACGAATATAGGGACGGAAAAAAACGCAGACTAAGATAATAATTTTTTAGAAAAAAAAAACCGTAGGCCGTGTCTCGGTCGCAAGTGCTGTTTACCAAATACACATATATTATACTAATATAATATATTACCGTGATTATAATATGTATATTCGAATTTTGTGTGTAGCCATTAAAAGAATGAATCGCGCGCACATTATCTCATTAAAAACGTCGTGTTCTTGCCGAGAAAAAAAAAATCTTCATCGCCCGTCGTAGTTGTTGTAGCCCGTAATCGCGCCTGGCAGACAGACGTCGGTCTGCAGAGTATCGCGTCTGTACACATATATGATTATATTGTTACTGTGTCTTATAATTTTTGGTTTTTTTTTTCCGTCGTCGTCGACGCGTATATTATAATATATGTTTTACAAACCCACCCCACTCGGTCCGGGAGATTCCGACGTCGAGTAGCCGAGGCTGCGGGCACATATGTGTACTGGCGGACTCTTCACCGCTTCCCATATGACACCATACGTATAATATTATTATTATTATTATTATTATAACGCGCATGTCGTGATATCTGTAGTAGTAATAATAATAATAATAATATTATACGTATTAATGACACTGTTTAACAGAGTACCCCCCTCCTCCTCCCGTCGCACATTACCCGAGTTATTGTTTCTTTTCTGTTTTTCCCCTTCCCCATTCCCCCAGCCCCACACACTAGTCGGCACCACCGTTTCCCCATTTGGGTTTCTTTTTCCGTTCTCACAACGCGCCGACGACAGAGGGGACGCGCAGACGACGACGACGACGACGAATGCGCGTGTGAATCCACATTGAGGCCGGGACGACGAAGACGGCAATGATGATGATGATGATGATGATGATGAAAAAAAAAATAAAAACACCATACCGCTACTATGCTGTATACTCTATTGGTGTACGCGACTGCGGATAGGAACAGATCTATAATTATGATATTATAATTACGCATGATGACTATATTATACAGAATGATTTTTTGAGCGCGCTCACCCTCATTTTTCACTTTAATAGTTGTCACATTTATTCAAATCAAGATTTTAAGTTTACCTAAAGAACACATTTTCAATATCCTGATATATGTTGTCCTACAGAAGTGTCCAAGTGACGATTTTCAATCAGAATTCAGTATAATACGCATTATTTGAGCACAAAAATAGAACGAGCTTGCTTAAAAAATCACGCTGTATACTGTATACATTCAGTATGTTGCTGCAGGCTATATTCCCGGGCTATACGAATCGAAAAATAGTAATTTCCCAATATACAATAACATTACCTAGGTATATGTTATTACATGTACCTACAATATATATCTAATGGCGACCTCCATGCTCAAAGCGTCTATATACATACAGAGCTGTACGATATATATTATAATCTATCGTGATCGAGTGGCTTATTATATTATTATATATTATTGTATAATATGTGTAGTGAGGTTTCCGTACACCTGTTGCGATGTGCCGCGGCGAGAGGATCTAATTATTATTTCCGATCATTCGTTTTGTGCGAGACGTTATTATGAAAATCGAACTCGTATTATAGAACTGATATAGGTACGAAATGAGCCCACCTCTGCCACAACACGTTATACCTGTACATGCACAGTATCTGTCTAAACCCGAAAAATATAACATAATAATATTTATATCGTATATATTACACGCGTGGGTTTTCGTCATATTATTAGAATACCTATACCGAAGGTTTTACATTATTATTTTTTTTTTTTTTTTGATTTCTAATTCCGCGCCATCATTACGCTAATAATTACGGAGCGGCGATATCACAGGAAGTACCTATAGTTTATTATCGTATAGGTCCTATACTGTGTATTATACACATATAATTTAGGTGATATCTAACCTGACCCCGGTATAGGTGTGTGTAACCTACTAGCAATATTATTTCTTATACATTTTTTATCAACTAGCAAAGAGCTTTTTTTATCACATCCCGTTTTCTTTCGTTCAATCGATATATAATATCGTATAGGTATCGGTACAGATAGTATTATATTATGTAAATGCTGAATCGTGTACATTACGTCGTTATACAAGGCAATTATTTCAACAGTAAACATAATTAATTAGCTTGAAAGGTGTTACTTAACGTTTTTGATATATATATTTTTTTAATTTCTTACATTCTTTTAATGGCATTGTGAATTTTTAATTTCGGATTTCAAAGGTAATTTAAGGAATTCTTAAGCTGAATGTTTCCTCGACCATTTTATTTACAAAAATCGAATTTCTTACTAATAGTTATTTACTTAAAGCAATTATAGTTATAACATATTATTTTAAAATATTCTATTTAGGTTTTGAATATTTTATTATTACATCAATTAAAAACGAGAAGTACAACTCGCGACTTGTCGGAAACTACATTTTTGCAACCGTTATTGCCTTTTTCACGGGGTTGAAACTTAACTGTGAATTCCGGTACTCGGTGTTTAAATGGACAATGGTGTAGTGTTCGACCAGCTGTTGAAAACTGTACTAAACTTTACGAAAAATAATAATACATACAATTAAATCCAATTTTAACTTTTACGAAAATAAGAACCAAAATATTTCAAATTTAATCAATTAATCTGCACGATACATGTTGCTGCGTGTTTTGTATGGTGAATATAACAAAATATTAATTTTAAAGTTCACCTCCGATGCCCGACAATACAAAGAACAAAGCCGCAGTGGCCTTTTATTTTATACGAAACATAATAATAATAATATATTTTAAAGGCACAAATCTGATTTAAGTTATATTTTTGTAAAACCATTTTTAAGGATCTTATTATATCCTTATACTATAAACATTTTAATAATTCAGAAAGTACTCATTAGAATTTTTATTAAGATACAAACAAATTTTCAAGAACATCAAATCATCCACTAAAGAATTTGAAGTAAAATGGTTCCCATTTTAATAATATAAGTTTGTATTGTCACAGAACACTCCTTATTAAGTACCTACTTGGTATGAAAATATCAGAAATTTGAAACGGTATTCAGGTATACTTAAAAATTCTAAAAATCGGAATCTGAATAAAATAATATGCTGGTACTATAATTAAAGAAAAAAGGGGGAGAGTATACTTAAAAAATCACTTTGGATATCTTACGATGTTTCGATCGATAATTATCACCTATACATGTATATCATATTATTCAACAACATTGTTTATTATTTCATTGTGTTCAAGTTTAACGTCGGGACGTCTTGTCGTTTTGCAGATATCGCTGATCATTGCCGGGCCCGCGAGGAAGCTGGTCGAAGGGACGGACGTGCAGTTCCTGTGCCTGACGAAAGCCAACCCGCCGGAAGTGAACTACCGGTGGTTCGTCAACGATCAGTACGCGCTGAGCGAAGTCACGTCCGAACTGTGGCTGTTCAACATATCCAGGAGGCTGCACAATTCGTTGGTCAGGTGCGAGGCTCAAAACTCTGTGGAGAAAACAGAGGAATCCAAAGCGTTGAGCATATTGTGTGAGTATTATTACGATACCTTCATGTTATTTTAATATCCATAAACGTTGTACCTCTAAGTTGTATTTATAAGAATAAGTACCTATAGGCTATAGTAGCCCCCCCCCCCCCAATAGCGGATACAAAATTAAGGACGGTTTCTTGGGAGCCACCTTCAAACTGTCTATAATCTGAATCTTTTAAATAACGGACAATATTTCAGCGACCAAGGATGTCCAGTATTTAGAGATTTAACTGGATAAAACAAATTATTGTTTATTGCTGTGACTTCTATTTTCACACTAATTCGTACAATATAGCTTGTCTCGAAATATAAAATGTATTATAAAAAGTGTACAAATTACCACTTAACATAGCCTTAAGCTGATAACACTTTGGGCCCTTTTATTCAAACATGAGCTTTAGGGACGTACCCCTCCCCTACCAGGACACCTCTTGATCAGGGCCAGGATATATAATATGTGCCCGTAGAAATGGACAACACTTAAATATAGGTAACTCAATTTCTCGTGGATATTTTTGAATTCGGTTTGCATATATTGTGGAACATGGAAATAGACTAGTGGACCATCAATAATTTATTTGGCTTATCAATTTTTAACTCGAGTGCCCTAAGCGCATGCAACACAATTTTGTTTTTTTTATTTTATATATTATTTTTGGATTGGTCAAATTTACTAAGTAATTTTAAGTAGGTCAACTCGTACTCTAAACCAAAAATCGACTGAATGAAAGCTAAATAGGGTTTCTGGTTCGACACAGACAGCATTTTCGCAAAAATATATTAATTTGTTTAATAATAATTAGGTAATAATGAAATTAAAAAATAGTTAAAAACAACAATGCAAGATTGATGAACTCTGATTGTATCATGGTAATTTGAAATAAAAAGTATATAAATAAAAAAAACTCACTCAGTCAATTTTCAATCTATGGTAGGGCGTGACTTCAAAAAGGCATATAAAATTGTCAATTGAACATATTCAAATATGATATAAAAAAATAAGGGAAATCGCTTGAAATTAATAAAGTTCTGCTGTCAATGTCTATAGTTTTATGTTCCGCAAACTAATTTTAAAAATAAGCATAAGATACTTAGTTGCTGAGTGTTCTGTGTCTCCGTTGACACACGGTACCTATATGAAATTGACGTAAGCACCTATATTGACAGCAAACACTATTTCATTATCTCAACATTGTCATTTTTTAATATTCAATATACATATATATTTTCTTACAATATTTTATTTACATCAGGCTGTTATGAAAATGTTTACTTACATTATTTTTATGTTAACTGGTAAACTAATACAGATTTTTAATTTTTTAACAGCAATTAAATGTATATTTTCATTTACTGATCCGTGGAAGAATAATTTTCTAACCATTTCAACGTTCGAATTTCGAAAATGTTTAACGCGTGTTTAAGGTTAACATAGTTTAGAGTGACATAATATGGTCGAAATCTTAACTTCAACCGCAACTGCATGTAAATTAATGCACACAAAAACACTACATGCCTTTGATTTTTAAATATACGCTCGTTTAAAAAAAAAAAATGAACAGTCGCTCACACGTGTATTCGCATCATAATAACAGTTGTGTTATCTAAAATGTTATGTTTGTGCGTGTGTGATGTAGAAATATTATAATCAAAAACAGTTAATGCTATATTATATATTTTAATTATCATATAACTCCCTGCCGCGGTCCACCGCAGTTCGTCATCTGCCGCCCGAGAACGCTCGATTCATGAATTTCTATTTCTATTTCTACACTATTTTTTTTCTCGTGCTCTTCCTTTCCGTATACATTATTACACAAGCAATAAAATCTAAATGTCACGTAACAGAGGAAGACCGCCGTGGTGTATATATATATACACACATATATATATATATATACATATACATATATATACATACTGCACGTACGGATGTAACACATGTACTCACGTGCAGTGCGTTTCGAAACGATGACGACATTTACACGTGTTCCAGACAGCAGCGGCTTCTGTGTAGGTACCATATAGCTACAACTGCTGATGCTCGCTACGTTTAGTAAATCGAATGGGGTTCGCGTTCGTCCGTTGCGAGCATTAAAAACAAAAATAATTAATTGATAATTGCACGTTACGTTTCGTGCGGATTTCGCAAACGAGGTTTCGAGATAGATTTTGACTTTTCGTGTGTACAATGTTATAATAATTAGAGAATTCTAGACTCCGATTGCCCGGAGAAAACGCGCAAAAATGCAAAAGGGAGGCCCTAAAACCCTAAAAATGAACTTAAAATTACCATAGTAAATCTTCTTGCGCGAGTGAAAAAAATTTAATTTAAAAACAATAATTACTGTATAAATGTATAGTTGGTGGGCATTTAGGTCGATATCGGACATTATCTAAAATATGGTACACATAGTGATGAAAAATAATATAATATATTCACGTTGCCTTCACGTTGTCTCCACTCTTCGCTGATTCGTCGTTATATTATATTTATACGATGCGTACCTATTGCATTAGGTATATGGTTATATTTTATGCGAATAAAAAATCGTGCGAAACGGTGGAGACGGTTTTGTTCGAGTTTCGATGCGTTTTTGTCACACAAATATTATAATATTATCGTCGCGTATAATGCAGTGTATATTACTACATAATATAGAGCCATTTACACGTTCAGAGCTTAAACAGATGCGTATATCGCGCCTTGTGGACATCATGTGTGTGCATTGCGTAAAACCGATATTATTCATTCGACGTTCGACCATATACGTGGTCTATGGTATACGTAATATCATACTTGTGAGTCGTGAGTGCAGTGTAAATGTACCAAGGTTAGGCTTGCTGTATGCGGGGCTGTGAATTTAATGCGTTTGAGTGTTTTTTTCCTCGCTTCTTTCTACAATGCGATAAAAACGGGAAGAAATCAAATCTGGAGGAAATTCGTTTGAATTTTAATACCTAATTGAGAATTTGAGTAGATTTTTTTACGCTACTCTACATTTTATTTTATAAAAAAATTTCTGATACAAGCTCACGATTTATTATTTTCATATTTTATAGCAAAGTTGATTGATCGGCAACAACTGATCCCAGCGCAACAATATTGACAAAAATCGTGTCATTTATTCATAAAATGTGCGCAAAGACAAATTTGTTTAATATTTATACATACATGGTATTTCAATAATTATTCATTGATATTTTTAAATCGTATTGAAGACAATTTATCCAATTCACGTTATTACTTATTTCAGAAGTTTTGGAGCGTATAAGTATTATATATTTTGAAAATCGTAGTCTATTAAATTCAATGGCCCAAGTATATTATAAGAATATAGGTAGTAATATATTATTATACTTGAATTACGACCATATACGTATATTACATTAAACCGGGCTATAGATTCTGGTACACATAATAATTCAAAATTAAGGTTTTGTTACTGTGTACCATTATTTCTAATTTAAAAAAATGCATACCATGATATAAAATTAAAATGTTACTTCAATAATAATATATTCTGTATTTTTCTAAAATAAAAACTTAATTTGTTTTTGTTTATATAGTGTGTATATAGTTAAACCCAAATAAATGTATATTGGGCCATAAAAGTAAAACATGTGATTCGTCTGTATTTCATTTAAGACGATTGAGAATTAACGAGTTAAAATATTAATTTTACTTAAAAATTCCTAACTTATAACTAGCTAGTTACTTTTGGGGTTCCATTTAACTTCAACTTAATAACATTTAACATGAAATCAGTGAATTCAGTTTTAATTTTTAGAAGTTAAGTTGATTTATTTTGTTTTTAATTGTATTTAATTTTATTACATTTCAATCGATTTTGATTTCTAGTCAAAAAATATTTCAGGTAATGTTTGGTGTTCATTGTTTCATTTTTTAGAAACAAAAAACTTCAATGAACCAGTAGTTCATAGAAAAATACAGTATACAAATTATGTATAGTTTTGACTACTTTTGAGTTGGTAAAAAAATAAGGTAGGCTTAGCTGGTGTTCAATTTTTTTTTTTGCAATAAGTTTAAAAAAATAATGTATAAACTTTACGAAGTTCACCAAAAATTAAATTAACTTTAAACTTTTTCTTATTAATGCGTATTAATTTATCGTATCTGAATGAGTATAAAATATCGTCAACTCGCCCAGCTTTGGTTTTATTATCGATTATTTAGAACGGAATATTGTAAACTGCGTTATTTGTCGTTTATAAGTCATTGTGATATAGTAACGGGGTACAACATGAGTGTATAATGTATTTAATATAACCATTTAGGTTGTATCGAAACTGAAAACAACCTGCAAAAATATGTACAATTTTCGTTTTATTATCGGGGCCATAATGATGATTATGATATTATTATTGTTACCGAACGCGATCTTTACAGTTGCAATAGCTATCTCGAAAAAAGTGAAAAAAATTACTAACTCGACTTTGTGTCTGCTAGCGACGTTTTTCGCGATTGTTTCCATAACTTACTATAATATATTATATTTTACTATTGTTGGTATGCGTACTTGAAAATTCGAAAAAACTACCCTGGACCATCCACGACCTTTTGTACAACGTATATAATATTAGAAAATATAAATGATGATATGCATAAACGTGGTGTCTACAACATAATATTTTGTCCTATTATATCTGAAAGTGAAGTGAACATTTTCCGAAGTATGTATACTCAGTGTTTAGCCAAGCATGCTCACGGCTCACTCCCTATACGTTTTCTTTTAATTAAGAATACCTAGTAATTTTTGGAATTTTTCTCTATACTTAGGATCATATTTAAAAATACTTAGATTTTCATACAATATAATACCGATAAGTGTCCCGTTACAATACAAACTTCTTTTTTGTTTTTCTATGAGCGTACATTTTTTTGTTGAAATACCGATGTATTTAAATACAAATTTTAATGAGTTCTAATACTCATTAGTTATTAACCTTTATGATGATTTTAGTCCACTAAAAT